TCCTCTCACACACACTGGGATCTCCTCAGTCCCCCTCCTCTCACACACACTGGCCTCTCCTCACTTCCCCCTCCTCTCACACACACTGGGATCTCTTCCAGCCCCCCTCCTCTCACACACAATGGGAGCTCCTCACTCCCTGCTCCTCTCACACACTTCAGGATCTCCACCATACTAATTCCCGTTTGCCACTGTAGCAGGTCTCTGCCTGGGTACACTTCCTTTCCCTCATTCACTCTAACCCACTCCCATCAGGGTTTTCACCCACAAACTATTCTTGTTTTGCTCAATTTCATGGTCCAGTCTGTAGGCACATTGGCAACCCCCATCAGAAGCATCTGATAAAGCTGGTGACTCTCTCCCCCTAAAACTACTTTCTTCACTGACTTATAAGCCACAGCCACCCTTGGCAACCTCACTGGCCGTGTCTTAGTAAAGCGAGGCAAGGCAGAGTTCCATCCACCCTGCAGGGCCTCTCCCTGCAACTCCACACTCACCAACCCACTGGCACACCACATCCCCTCACTGAGGGCACAGAGACTCCACGTCAGCACCTGTAAAACTCAACTCCTGCTCTCCCTCTGAAAACCACTTACGCTTTTAGCATATTAATGTGGAAAGTGACAGAGAGGCTAAGGGAAGTTTTCTTTTCTTCTTTTAATTGAAGCTCGTCCATTAATTCATGTCGCACCTGTTAGAAAATGGAATAGAATATTAATTTTGATTTAAACAAATAATTAGGTAGAGATCTAGATATTTCGTAGCTATTATTTTGAAATATTCCTCACTTAAAATTAATATTTACAATTAACAAGTATCTTCTCATTAATTATGTTTTATATTTAGTTTTACATATATAACTTAGTTGATTTCCTAGACACAAAAATTAATAGATGATGAATGCTCTTCGTACATGTTGTCATGGTAACTACTTTTTCTTTACAAATTTTCTGCTAACTTTTTTTTTAATTAAATGCTGTTACAAAAGAAATATCCAAGTGGTCACAAAGAAGCAAAGAGATTTTCTTTTGTTTTGTCCATATATGCACATATGTATGTTTTTATATCTCTCAATGGATGGACTTGTTTGCTCTTTTTATACACAGTTTTCTGAACAATGACATTTAAGAAAATTACTTCTATCAACATTTTTTGATATGCCAATTTACCATAACAGAAAATATTTGTCGATATTTCTGTGGCACGTTAGCTTTTATGAACGGTGCTGCAGTGGCGCAAAACTTAGCGGCCTCCTCCTTTTTTCCAGCCTGCAGATAACACTCCAGAAGCTCCCTGGATAATATAACAGTAGTGGGTATTAAACCTTGATGAAATCATTTTCTGCTGCAAATGTGTAATAACCAGGTTATTATACTTGTATTATTTTTATGTTTACAAACTTCAGAAAGATACACAAATGGGCCAGTTCCTAACCTCACTCCCGCAGTCTGTGGCTCACCGAGGACAGGCCAGCAGGGACTGGGAAAGCTATGCTATTGCTGGCAGGAGGGAAAGGGAACTGCTTGCACTTTAATTACCTAAGGTATTTAAAAATGACCTTTTAAAGAAAAATTGTATTTATATTTATTTTCTGTTAAAGGCTCCCCAAATGGCCATAAAGCAGGTAAGGAAAGCCTGCAGATTCTGGATTCTGAATTCAGGGCAGATTCTCTGGGTCCTCCTTGCCTATGGCTTCCCAAATACAGGAAAAGTCTGACAGATTGCCTTTCACTCCCCCAGCATAAGGACCATTTGTTGACATCTCTTGCTGTGGCTCCACAGGGCCGCCCCTGTGGCAATAAACTCAGCACCCGCTTCCCTAACAGGGGCGCCTAGACACGGACGCCCATTCTGGCTGAGTTTTATATTGCTAAAATGTCTATTACACTAACAATTTACTGAACTAAGTTTTTAAAACCATGAGCCAGGACTATGACACAGGTTCACACTTCCTGTGTTTTCAGTCAAAACATTTGCCCTGTTGTAACACCGCTATAATCAGGACACTGTGATGTCATCCACAGAGTTTAGAAACATCTTCAGACAAGACACACAGACAACATAATTCTAACGACAGAGTAGAAGGCAACGACATACACCCCGCCGTGTAAAATAATCACCCCTCTGGGAGAAGGCAGGGTGGGCGCTCAGACTCACAGCATCAGCTCTGCCCGCCAGGCTTTGTCCTCTTCCTCAGTTTGATTCAGCACATTCACAATCTGGGAGAGGCTGGAGATCAGATGGTGATGATATCCAGGCTTGAGAAGCGGCCTCACCGTCTGCCAGTAGAGGACTGAGGCGTTGTACAGCAGGAAGTAGTACCTGTGGCGCAAGAGGAAGTCCCACGGAGACGCGGTCAGAGGGCAGCCTGCCCAGAGCCCCCTCTGGGAGGGAACCTCGAGTCCTCTGCCTCCAGCAGATGGCAGCAGCTGCGTCTGACATGCTCTGGCCCACACTGCATGAGCGCCCTGCACAGCCTGCCCTGGAGGCAGCCATGGCACCCTGCTCAGACGGTGCTGGGTCCAACCAGAGATCCTTTCACTCATTCACTCACTTCACAAAGTGATCGAGTCGGGCCGGCCCCGTGGCTTAGTGGTTAAGTGCGCTTGCTCTGCTGCTGGCGGCCCGGGTTCGGATCCCGGGTGCGTACCGAGGAACCGCTTCTCCGGCCATGCTGAGGCTGTGTCCCACATACAGCAATTAGAAGGATGTGCAGCTATGACATACAACTACCTACTGGGGCTTTGGGGGGGAAATAAATAAATAATTAAAAAAAAAAAAAGAAATTTAAAAAAGGGCCGGCCCCGTGGCTTAGCGGTTAAGTGCGCGCGCTTCGCTGCTGTTGGCCCAGGTTCGGATCCCGGGCGCACACCGCTTCTCCAGCCATGCTGAGGCCGCATCCCACATACAGCAATTAGAAGGATGTGCAGCTATGACATACAACTATCTACTGGGGCTTTGGGGGGAAAAAATAAATAAATAAAATCTTTAAAAAGAAAAACAAAAACAAAGTGATCTGCTCCCTGTGAAAATACACTAGTGAGCAAGCCCTCCTTGGGTTTCCAAGGGATAGACAAGAATGGGCAAGTGCAGAGCAAAATCAAGGAAGGCTTCCTGGAGGAGGTGACATTCCTGGAGACCTGAAAGGTGACTGGGAATCAGTCAGGGGAGCAGTTCAGGGAAAGAGGGTCAGGCAGGTGGACGAGGGAGAGCAGGACATTCAGGGAACAAAGTCCCTGTGCCTGTGCACGAAGTGCAAAGTGCAGGAGGAGGGGGGGTGGGGAAGGGAGCAGGGGCAGCCTCAGAAGCTGGGCTTTTTCCTGAAGGCTGCAGGGGCCACCGGAGTTATCTGAGTAAGGGACCCACAGGGGCCAATGTGCCTGACTCCAGGCCTCTCCGGAGGGGCCAGCCCTGCCTTCTGGAGCCCAGGGACCTGGTGGCGTTCTAACGGGTCATTAGATGGACAAATGCTGCTCATGACCACTATTACTCGGGAAGGAGGAAGACTCCAGGTGTAGGCAATAGGACAAGTCCACTTGCTCCTTCATGGCGTTTATTCAGAGCCATGGAATGACCTGGGTCAGGACTCATTTTTTCCCCAGCTTTTCTAGGAAAGGAGGGGAAGCGCAAGACGTCATGAACAGTGCAAGCTCTGACCCTCGGCATTCTGTCCAGATGGTCAGTCACCTCTGCCTGGAGGGACTCCAGTCAGCCTGTTCTGTCTCCCCAATGCCACATCCAGAAAGGAGCTCACGTCCCCGCAAACTCTTCTCGTGATTCCTATTGTGGTCGGAGGCTGTGCAGACTCACTCCCCCATGCCCTCACGTTGGGTTCCTCTCTCTTCCCCACTGCTGCAGCCCTGGCCCTGCCATCCTCTCTCTCCAGGACCACCCAGGGCCCTTCTCCCAGCCCCTCTCTCCCAGGTCTATTTCTAAAGGTGGTCCTGACAGCCCCCAAGGCTCCTGATCCCCCATCTAGGACCCCCATCGAGTCTGGAGGTGCCCCCAAGACCCCCTAGAGTGCAGCACTGGCCAGGCCCCTCCCCAAGGGTGCTCACCACCCCGGCTTCACAGCTCCAGGGCACAGTCCCCTTGAAACACCCACTGTCCTTAGAACCTCTGGTTCAAGGTCGGGTCTCCCAGCCACACGTCCCCACTGAGAGAGGGTCTGCAGGGCTGGGCCCTGTATCCCCAGCACCTACAACAGCACCATCTCTGGCTGGCCAGAGATGGCCATCAGTGAACCTAGGATGTATACTTACATCTCCTTTAAATGTCGTGTCCTATTTAAATAGGTTGTACTAATGCCAGTTTGTATGCAAGCTTAACAGTTTCAGTAATATTGATTTTTGATGAAGAAAACATTAATTAAGTAGCAATCTGTGCTGGAGTTTCAGCTAAATCACCTCTACAGGCATGAGGCCTTGGCCCAGGTGGTCCCCCAGGGGCAGTATAAGCAAGTGGGGGCAGCGCGGGGAGGGACCCGAGATGCTGAACCCCCCACAGAAAGTGAGGGGGCCCTGGGGACGGGTGAAAGGAGAAGCCCATAGAGAAAGCTGACAAAAGTCATCCACAGATCACAGATACCGCTGAAGGGGGTAGAGGATGCAGCTAAGGGAACTGTACGCGCACGCAGCCAGTTCTCATGTCAGAGATGTGAGTCTATGACCCTAAATGCATCAAAAACACAAAACAAGGACAAAAAACCCCTACAGTCTGAACAGATAGAACCACTTGGTAAATTCTGCTTCTGAACCTTTTACACCATCAGTTAGAAACGGCTGATTCCATTGTACCCACCTCGGTTCTCCTTTGGCAAAGTTGATCACCTTCATATACTGAGTCACACAATTTTCAAATTCCTCCTAAAACAACACAAAGAACACACAATTAAATCCAATTTGCCAGTGAGACCTCGATCACTGCTCATTGTCACTTCCGTGAACCTGAAGCCTCTCTGAGGACTGGCCTGGCCCCCTGTACGGAGCATCAGGAGCTGGAGCACGGAGCAGAAGCCACGGCTGCGTGTGCTCTCGGGCGCCTGGCCTCTCTCCCTGGAAGTTCCCCTCTGCCTGGCTCAAGGGCTGGAGGGCTGCTGCGGCATGACGGCATGACCGCGGCACTGGGGTACAAAGGTCAAACGCCAAACAGGATGCACGTCAGACTCCACTGCTTAGGGAAAAGCATAAACAGGAAACACTGCAAGTTTCCCGTCACTGAAAGTCAATCTGTCACTTGACTCAATAAAAAACTTTAAGATTTGTCTAGCCTGACACAATTTTGGACGTGGGGTGAAATTTTTACTGTTGCGATACCAGATGTGGAATTTTGAGGAGAATCAAGGCAACCTCAGGGAAAAAAACACAGTAGGACAAACCATTACGTGTTCATTTTAGACGGGGAACTAGCGAGCATGTGCCCTCCACCTCACTGGGAGTGTTGAAACTGCACGTGAAGCTCCACGATTCAAATGACTAATAAAGAAAATCGGAGGAACTGGCACGCAGGGTGCGCTCCTCCTGGCAGTGCCCGCTGGGCCTGGGGACCCAGGACCCTCTCTCACCAGGTTTTCGGTGGACTTGGGGGCACACAGCTGGGCCCTGCACAGGTGCGCTCGACCCAGAAACTGCGTGACTGGCCCCTTCACCTTGAAGTACATCTTGATGCAGTCCTCGCTCACCTCTGGTTGCCCCATCTGCAAGAGAACACCTCCGCCATATAAGGGCTGGAAGGATGCCTTGGATGGCGCTGCCTCCCTTCCCATAAACACACGACTGTCCTGCTCTGAGGACAGACCCAGTGGTTTCCTCCCGTGGACCACCCCACCAGGCGCTGCCGCTCTCCCCAGTCCCACCTTCTGCTCCCATTATAAACCCAGAAACAGAGATCTCCCGACACGACGTCCCAGGAGCCCTGGGCTTAATTACCTTCAGGGCCTGTTCCGCACACAGAACGAACAGGTCGGGGCTGAAGCTTTCTGTCGGGTCAAACTCCGATTTCGCCAGGTTGGCTGACTTAATCAACTCATAGGCCCTCTTCAGGGAGGCAGCATCTATCAGGACGGCAGTTGAGGAGTCGGTCAGGAAAAGGAGCCCATCGCATCACCGAGCAAGAGCGAGGAGGTCAGGCGGGTCCAAGAGAGGCCTGGGGGCGGGATTCTGCGGCTGCAGGGGCCCGGTCGTCTCCAGGGAGAGGACAGCCAGGGGCAAGATGCCCCCTGCACAGCCCGCTCCCCTCCTGCAGCAGCGGCCAGTTGGAGCTTCAGAAGCAGTGGGAGTGAATAATCCTGAGGAACGCTTAGAACGACAAAACCCTTCTCTGTAAAAAAGGCGCCTTAGTTCACATTTGCCCGGGCGGACAATCCGCGCAGTGGGGGCTTCCACAGGTCACTGAGTCTGGCAGGGCTGCGACCAAGGGGGGGGAGGGTAGCAGGTGTCTTGGTGGGTCCTAGGGCCTCCCTGGGTCAGGGGTGGGGCGGTTCCCGGGTCTCCCGAGACGCAAGGGTCATGGCCCTTATCCCAGGGCCTGGACGGGGGTTGTGGCCGCCGCGGGATCAGGCGGGGTCCCGGGGGTCGGTCTTGTCCCAGGGGTTAGGGCGGGTTCGGGGTCTCCCCAGGTCAGGGGTCGGGGCCCCCGCCCACCCTGCTGGCTCTCGGCGCGGGCCAGCTCCTCCGTAACCACCAGGTCCATGGCCCCGCCGCCTGCGGCCGGTTGCTTTCCTCCCGCGTGGAGATGCCGGCGGTTGCTTAGCGACCAAGAGGGACGCGGCCCGGTCCTACGGGTCGGCGGCGGGGCCACACTTGTCCGGGGCGAACCGCCGCCGCGTCCACAGCCCCGCGCTGGTTCAGCCATCCCCGCGGGAGCGAGGACGCGGGGCGGGAGGGGGCGCGGGGTGGGGGCAGCGGATGGGAGAGGGTGAGGCAGGAGGGGAGGGCGCGCCCGCGTGGGGGTCGTGCTCTTGCAGGCCTGTCCGCCCTTTCTCTGGCCCCGCACACCGGCCAAAGCCCCCACATTGCTGCCCGGTCGCCCGTGTTGGGTGATGGCCCCCGCCCCCACCCCCTGACGATGCTGCAAACTGGCGCTGCCCTGGGTTCCAGTCCTGGCCCTGGGCGATCCCCGTCACGTTCTCCTGGAGCATCCTCCTGCATTCCTTGGCTCATTCATTCATTCACTCTACAAATAGTTATTTGCCCCCTGCCGTGGGTCAGGGCTGAGCGGGGCCTGGGCAGGCAGTGGGGTGGATAGGCTGCCCCCCTGGGTACAGGACATCGCAGAAACGGAGTAAATGTGCGCCTGGGGGAGTGCCACCAGCGGAGGCCAGGGAGCCTAACAGCTTGTACAGGGACCTGATCCTGGGTGTGGGGGGGGTGCGCAGTAGGGAGAGCCCCCCAAACAGAGGACAGTTGAGCTCAGATCTGAAAGAAGACAGGAGGTGCCTGACAAAGGAGGGAAGAGGATGCCAAGAGAGTAGCATCTTCCAAGGCCTGGAGGAGGGAGGGGCCAGCTGGGGATGCACAGTGCTGTGAGCTAGGAGACAGCTACTGCCGGGCCGGGGTTCTCCTCTTCCCACATCCACAGGAAGCCCCAGGCGTGCCTTAAATGCTGTGTGTGGGTCTGAGCGTTTTCTGTGGGTGCGAGGTGGAAACTGGCTTGGAGAGGGTGAGACTGATGAGGACTAGCCAGTGTGAGCAAGCAGAGAGGCAGTGGGCTGGCGCACACACAAGGGCAGGAAGAGAAGAGCAGGTCTGAGTGATGGAGCAGGTGTGGGGCCAGGGAGGGCCAAGAGGCCATGGCCCTGGAGACTACACACTGGGATGGAGGGAGGGCACACACCCTTGGAGGGAACTCTGGGAAAGGACTAGCTGGCGGAGGGCTCAGGAGAAAGTCCGGGCATTCTGTCTGGGACTTGTGGGATCCTGAGGTGCTTAGAGTTGACATTTGTAGGAGGGATCTGGGCTGAGAGGAGAGCTCTGGGCTGGAGGTGCAGGCCTTCGAACAGCTGCTTAGAAGTGATGGGGTGTGGCTGAGATTGCTGAGGGAGAGCACACCAAGGGAGAGGAGCAGGGGGCTGGAGACCAGCCCTGGAGACCTCCAGGCCACGAGCAGCAGGAACAGCTTCAGTGGAGACAGAAAGAGGGCCAGAGAGGTGGAAGGGAAGCCACACAGGGCTGAGTCCAGAAGCCAAGGGAACGGTGTTCTGAAGAGGGGAGGGATCAGCGAGGTCAAATGTGGCCAAAACATCAGTAAATGAGCACTGAGAAATAGCTGTTGGGTTTACCAACATGCAGGCCGTCGGTGACCCAGGAATAGACATTTCTCTGAACTGGGAGTGCAGAGCCAGTTGGAGGGAGTGGAAAAGTGAGGGTGACAGGGTGGAGAGAGAGAGATACACAACTCTTTCGAGAAGTTTAGCTCTTAATGAGGAGGAAAGAGACTGGGTGGTGATAATGTAGGGGCTTTGGTGTCTTTTTAAAGACACCGTGTATGACAAGCACTTTTAAACTGATGGGTTTTTATTCATAAACAATATGATTGTGTATGTAAAAAAAGCCTGTGGCATCTACAAAAATACTACAAGTACTAATTAGGGAAGTTAGCAAGGAGCAGGATACAACATCAATACGTGAATATTAATTGTATCTGTAGATACTGTGCTAGCAATAAACAGAGAAGGAAGGAAAAATACCACTTAAAAAAGCATAAAAGACAAACTACTTTGGAATAAACTTAACAAACGATGTCTAATACTGCTACACTGAAAACTACAAAACATTGCTGAGATAAACTGAAGACCTAAATAAATGGAGAGATATGCCACACCCATGAACTGGAAGACTGATGTTTGTAAGAAGTCCCTTCTCCCCATGTTGATCTTTAGACTCAATGCAATCTCACTCGAAATCCCAGCAGGCGATTTTCTGGAAATTGACTGCTGATTCTAAAATTTATATGGAAACACAAAGGACCTAGAATGGAAAAGATAACTTGAGGAAGAGGAACAAAGTTGGAGGACTCACACTACTTGATTTCAAGACTTACTGTAAAGCTGCAGTATTTTAGACAGTGTGATATTGGTGAAAGATGGACAGGTAGACCAAAGGAACAGAAGAAAGAGTTCAGAACCAGATCCACACATATACAATCCATTGATTTTGATAGATGTGCCAATTCAATGGGGAGAAGGAAAGTCTTTTCAACAAAAGATGCTAGAACAACTGGATAGTGAAGGAGAAAAGAAATGAACCTGGATCCTTGCATCACACCATGCACAAACGTTAGTCTGAGATGGATCGTAGACTTCAAAAGTAAAATTTAAATGTGTATAGCTTCTAGAGTAAAACATAAAATGTTTTGCCATCTTAGAGCAGACAAAAGTTTCTCAGATAGGACATAAAAAGTGAAACCATAAAAGAAGAAAGATAAATCTGTCCTCATCAAAAGTAAAACCTCTGCTCTTCGAAAGACACTGTTAAGAAAATGAAACGGCAACCTATAGGTTGGGAGAAAATATTCACAATAGATATATCTGACAAAGGACTTGTATCTAGATTATATAAAGAAAGCCTATAAATCAATAATAAAAAGACAAACACAAGTAAAAAAATGGGCAAAAGACTTGAATAGACACTTGATAGTACAAGATGTATGAATATCCAGTAAGCACATAAAAACATCATTGGTAATCAGGGAAATAAAAATTTAAATCAAAATGAGATACCACTTTAGACCCATTAGAATGGCTAAAATTAAAAAGACCAATAATGATAAATATGCTGGGATATGAGCAACTGGGATTCTTATACACTGCTAGTGGGAAGGTAAAATGATACAATCACTGAAAAACTGGAAGTTTTTAATAAAGTTAGACATGCACATACCCTATGATTCAGAAATTCTACTCCTAGGTGTTTACCCAAGTGAAACGAACGCATGTATCCACAAAAAGACTTGTATGAGAATGTTCATAGTAGTTTTATTCATCATAGTCCCACAGTGGAAACAACCCAAATATCCAGCAATAAGCGATTGTGGTATAGTCACACAATGACCCACTACTCGGCAATAAAAAAGAATGAACCAGTCATACTACAACAAGATGGATGAATCTGAACAACAGTGAGCAAAAGACCAGGCATAGAAGAGCCCTCTGTGGGATTCCATTTCTGGAATTGGACCAAAGGCTAGCAAGTTCCAGTAGGAACCGCCTTATTTCAACAAGTCAGGCCAAAGTGCCAAACAAGGACCCACAGAAAGGACAAAGCCTTTAAAGAAGGGACGAAGTCTTCAAAAAAACAAAAAATCAGATCCCAAATAAAGCTTAGAGAGCTTCACAATGCAAAAAGAGTGGAGCTCGAGATGCAGGAGAGACTTACCCTCAAACTCCGGGATCCTTGAGAAAGCAGTGAGCACAAGGGGCTCTGTGGGTACCAGCACCTGTTACCTGTCTGCTCACCCTCCTCGGAGTCGTCAGGGGTCTTCTCTGGATCTCAGTGGGACCTCCAAATAATGTTAACCTAAAACAAATGAACAGCCAGTTGTTTTACCAGCAAAATGATTTATTTGGGAACATCAAAGAATTGCAATTCAGGACACGCAATCTATGGCAAACCACAGGCAAGTCCAGAGAACAAAAGAGAGAAGGCTTCCTTTATAGAAGAGAAGGGGGAGTTGGGAGGGGCTGTTACAAACAAAGAGTCCATTGGAGGAAACTGGGACTTCAAAGTGTAGTGGCTTTTCATTGGCTGAGTTGTGAGTTGTGACAGTCTCTTATTGGCTGAGCTGTTGCCAGGCAAGGAGAGAATCTTCCTTCCTCCTGCTGGGGTAGTCAGTATGGCTTCCTGCTCTGGGTGCATGGTCCTCTCTTCTTGTTGGGGTCTGTATTGACATGGGATGGTGCTGCTGGGAGCTCCCCCTTCTGGCCTCCTGACTCCATTTTAAATGAGGTTTCTGTTTATTAACTTGCACGCATGAAATTCTAGAACAGGCACAGGGGACCTAAGGCAGTAGAAATCAGAGTGGGAGGTTAACAGGGAAGGTGGTGACGGAAAGGTCCACATCTTGACTGGAGCATCAGGCACACAACTGTGTACATTTTTCACAACTCATTGAAACCAACATTTAAAGCCGGGGCATCTCGTTTTATGTCCATCATACCTCAATGACAAACCAAGCCAAACCGAACACAAAGCCCCAGGAGCTCCAGGACGTGAGCTCCGACATGAGAGGGAGCTTGGGCTCCCCCAGGCCAGGCGGGCAGGAGGAGGAGAAGCTGTAGGCCGGCAGTGGTTTTGCCCTGGGAAGCTGAGGGACTCTCTGCCAAGTGCTCCTGCTTTTGAGGACATTGGAGGCCTGGTCGTCTGCTGAGGGTGAGGACTGTTGGGGTTGAGCATGGAGGAGGGAGAGGGAGTGAGTGACGAGAGGCTCCTGTGGGTGCTGGGGCAGAGCCGAGCTCTCGTCGAGGTTGGGGGCCATGACCCCCGAGTGGCACCCTGGCCCCGTGAGGCTCCTGCAGAGCTCAGCTGCTTGACTCAGGACAGGAGAAGGTCCCGTCGGGGTCCTTTGGGGTGGGAGGCTTGGCATGTGGCAAGGGTGAAAGAACAGGCCTAGCTTGGTGCAGGTATCAGGCAGAGAGCACCGGCATGCTGGACGTGGAGGTCACTAGGGGAGGAGAGCTGGTGGGTGGGGAGAAAGTGGGGTGTCGGTGTGCTGGGGCAGGC